TATTAATACTATTCTTATCGTTATCCGTCATGTCAAATATATTATATATTAAAAATTAATATGAAAATATATGACAGACGTGGATAGATAAAACAATAGACTCACCGAATTGCCTTCTTTGAAAGATTTGACCGAGGTTGAGGCGTGTTAATATGTGGCTCACCAAATGTAGCGTGGTGTCGAGTTGAGCTTGACTAAGAACACCGCTACCAGACTACTTGCCAATAGACCAATAAAATTCCGATAGGCCAAAATATCAGAAGGCAGATGATTGTAGTAGTCGTATATATTTGTTGGCGATCTCGTGGTATCGAAAGAATACCGAGATCGTGCCAAAGGAGTACAGTTGCGATCGGCAAGATAAGATACGTGCGTAGTCGAAAAACCGCGTAAAAGCAATGGAATACAATGGAAGCCCAAAATGGCTGTTATTAGCACAGTTAAACAAACGAGCACAGTAAAACAGTCACTGGTACAATTGGTTATAATAATAATTGTTTTCATCGAACCAATCGCGTTCTGTTGACAAAAAAGGTCACTACAGGAGCCCCCCGCTAGAAAGGGTTTACACTTTCGATAGTTAGCGGTTTGATTCGTGGGACTGATCGGCAGATATGCGGTTGTAGGACGAAGGAAATTGGCGGAACAGGAAGTGATCGTTGATCCTCGAGTTGCCAACGAAGGTCTTTTGCGCAGAACGGTACCAGAAGTGTGCTGTATTTGTTGGTCGAATTAGCATACCACACCAGAGTGGTTTGTATCCAGAATCTGATGATTGCGTTCGTATGGATGCGGACCAGAAAACGCTGCAGACGTAGGACGAAACCACGTTGAGCCAAGAAACCGGACGCGACCATAACTACCAAGCATATGCTAGGCGAATTCGAGACCAGATAATCGACTGAGTGCGTTGACTAGAGCGTGGGTGGCCAAACCAGCTTTTGCCAAAATTGACTGAAGTCGACGTTATCAAACGGGCGATGGTCGGAGGCGTGGGCTCAGGATACAAAAAAAATCAAAAAAAGAAAAGTGTAGCATGCGTGTAGTATAGGAATAATCCTACACCGTATCCATTATTGACTGTGCGGTTAGTCGCGAAAGCGTACGGGTAATCGTACTCGGCGACCGGAACGTGAGACGGTGGTCTCGTTCGTACTTCGTGAGCCTGCGATCTCATCCGAGGTCAAGGGCGGCGTGGTCTGCTGATCTGGACGTGAGACGGAAGTCTCGTCCGTAGATGGTGCAGATGACGCGTGCTGTTGACCGGGACGTGAGAACGAGGTCTCTGATGTATCTAGCGTGGGATCCGAGGTAGACGTAGAGATCCCGCTAGAAGGTTTGATAGGTCTAGCATTGAGTCTCAAGTTATCGGGTAGGGGACTGTCATCGACGTGTGCTGGTTTGAGACGATCAATGCTGACGATCTCGACGCGGCCGTGTCGATCAACCTTGAAGGTCTTTTCGTGACGAGAGATCACGTGAAAAGGGCCTTCGTAAGGCTGTTGTAGAGGTTTGCGTACCGAATCTACTCGTATGAAAACATGTGAACAGGTAGATAACTCTCGAGGGAGAGCGACCTGTCGATGTTGTATTCGAGTTGACACCGGAGACAGCGTTCGCATAAATGCAGACAGTCGATGGACGTAGTCTGATTTACCGAAATCATTACTGCTCCGTGGTGTGAACAATTCTCCAGGCAGACGCAATGTCGTGCCGTATACAAGTTCAGCGGCGGAAAATTGGATATCTGCCTTTAAACTCGTTCTGATGCCTAAGAGAACGAGCGGTAAGGTTTCGTACCAATTGTCGTTTTCGTGTGCTCGGAGAGCACTTTTAAGTTGGCGGTGAAACCTTTCGACTAAACCATTCGATGCTGGATGGTAGGCGGTAGTGCGTATGCGTTCCGTACCAAGCAGCCGGGTCAGTGAGGAGAATAATGCGGACTCAAATTGTTGTCCTCGGTCGGCCGTGACAGTCGAGGGACAACCGTACAATGCTATCCATCGTTCTACGAAGCGGTGAGCAACTGTCTCCGCCGTCATAGACGTGATGGGAATAGCTTCGGGCCATCTTGTAAAACGGTCAATGCACGTGAGTATATGATCATACCCATGCGATGGTGGCAATGGTCCTACAATGTCCATATGAACGTGATCAAAGCGAGCATCAGGCGTGGCGAACGTGCCAATGGGGGCAGCTACGTGCCTGTGCAATTTTGATCGTTGACACTGTAAGCATTGTTTTACCCACATACGAACATCTTTATTCATGGACGGCCAGACGTATCGTGCAGCAATGAGACGGAATGTGGCTGCGATACCTGGATGAGACAATCCATGAAGGGCATCGAAGACGAGACGGCGATAGGCAGAGGGTACGATGGGTCGAGGAAGACCGGTAGAAATATCACATTGGATAGTACCTGAGCTAGTAGCTAGGGGTACTTCCTGACACTGAAGGGACGAAGATTGTGGTGCTTCTGTACAGACAGGATCGTTTGCTTGTGCAGCGGCCATAGCAGGAAGATCGAGCACCGGTAAGGTAACTGCATTCGTCTGGATACGTGATAGAGCATCGGCAACATAGTTCGACTCGCCTTTAATGTGACGAAGGTCTGTCGTGAACTGGGAGATATAGTCCAAATGTCTGCACTCTCGTGGTGAGTAGCGGTCAGACTTGGTATGCAGGGCATACGTTAAGGGCTTATGGTCGGTGAATAAGATGAATTGACGTCCTTCTACTGCGTGCCGGAAATGTTTGATGGCGCAGTAGGCTGCAAGCAGTTCGCGACCAAAAGCGCTATATCTCGTCTCCGTGGGAGTAAGGCGTCGTGAGAAAAATTCGAGCGGTTGCCAACTACCGGAGATATTCTGTTGCATAACGGCTCCTATAGCGAAATCTGATGCATCAACCGCTATACTAAGCGTGGCTGATGGGTCAGGATGAGAGAGGAGTGTAACTTCAACGAGAGCCGTTTTGATCTCTGAGAATGCAGTACGTGCGGTATCGTTCAATTCTAATTTGCGTGGATTACCGCGTAGTAAATCGGTTAATGGTCGTAACCGTTCTGCCGCGTGAGGGATAAAACGTCGGTAGAAGTTAACCAAACCGAGAAAAGCCTTCAGTTCCTTGATTGAGGACGGCACGTTGTACTCCTTGATTGCTCGAATTTTGTCCTCGCACGGCAGAATACCCTCTTGTCTGATGATGTGACCCAGAAATATTTACCCAATTCACATTTCTCTGGGTTGACTACTATTCCATTATCCGAAAGACGTTGGAATAATAGCGTAAGGTGTTGATAATGATGCGATTAGCAGGTCATCAATATAGACGTGAACAAAATCCAAGTCTCGTACTATGCTATCGATAAACCTTTGAAAAGTTTGAGCAGCATTTCGTAATCCAAATGGCATTCGTAGGAACTCAAACAGACCGAAAGGAGTCGTGATAGCAGTTTTTTCGATGTCTTCAAGAGCGACTGGGATCTGGTGATATGCTCGTACCAGATCGATTTTAGAAAAGATAGTCGTGCCCTTGAGCGATGCCGTGATGTCGTGTATGTGGGGGATGGGGTAGCTATCAAAGCGCGTAACTACGTTTAATGCTCGGTAGTCGCCGCATGGTCTCCAACTAACCCCATCCTTTTTGCGCACCATGTGTAAAGGAGAGGCCCAAGGACTGTGAGAAGGACGAATAATACCAGTAGATAGTAAATTGTCAAACTCACGTTTAGCGAGAGCTAATTTGTCCGGTGCCAGTCGGCGTGGTCTTGCCGTGACTGGTGGTCCGCGGGTGACTATGTGGTGTACCACACGATTGGTCACCGATTAAATCTCCTCGAGTGGTTTAGTTATTCTGGAGAATTTCTCGAATAAGGCGTGGAATTTATCGTCACGCGAATAAAAAGTGCCGAGGATTCGGTACGCGTACATCGGAGTCTATTATATTAATACTATTCTTATCGTTATCCGTCATGTCAAATATATTATATATTAAAAATTAATATGAAAATATATGACAGACGTGGATAGATAAAACAATAGACTCACCGAATTGCCTTCTTTGAAAGATTTGACCGAGGTTGAGGCGTGTTAATATTTGGCTCACCAAATGTAGCGTGGTGTCGAGTTGAGCTTGACTAAGAACACCGCTACCAGACTACTTGCCAATAGACCAATAAAATTCCGATAGGCCAAAATATCAGAAGGCAGATGATTGTAGTAGTCGTATATATTTGTTGGCGATCTCGTGGTATCGAAAGAATACCGAGATCGTGCCAAAGGAGTACAGTTGCGATCGGCAAGATAAGATACGTGCGTAGTCGAAAAACCGCGTAAAAGCAATGGAATACAATGGAAGCCCAAAATGGCTGTTATTAGCACAGTTAAACAAACGAGCACAGTAAAACAGTCACTGGTACAATTGGTTATAATAATAATTGTTTTCATCGAACCAATCGTGTTCTGTTGACAAAGGTAGGTCACTACAAACTTATTTGTTTTGTGGGTTTATCTACCGCTACACTGTCTTCATGGTAAATAACTAGATACAGGTGAGAATGAACTAATGGTTAGCATATTAAATTACACTGGGATGACAGCGCCTTCTAGGAATTTTTTTAGAACATACAAGTCGCTTACTAAACAGGAACTTTTGACCTGATCGTGATTATTTAGTGTGAATACACTGCAGTACCACTGGCTCGACAGTTATGCCCATCAGAGTTTAGATGCTTCTGCGATATATAGCGTTTAAGATTTGATATAATAATTGTGGTGATTTACTACTTAATAAAACTTTCAATTGTCTAAATTACACTTTGTTCGAAATGACGGCTATCCATTCACTTTGGGTGTAATATTAAAAGATTATTTTTAACACTTTGAAAAAATGGTTACGTAGATCATCAGGTCGATGAACAACAAAGTGTCACAAAACATCGTGTTTGAGTTTTTAAGTGGTTTGTTCAATGCTTCTAAAACGCTATTTGTTATACTGTTTCGGTTGCATCAACTCATTCAACGCTTTTGAAGCTAAAAAATTGTGATATGTTGTCTGATGCTGAGAAAAGAAAGCAAATAAGTGTTAGAGGGATTGCTCAATTGGAAAATGTGACAAATCTTAAATCTGACTTCAACAGACACCTGCATTTTGATGGGGTTAAAGACAGGAACGTCGCAACGTCTCTCGACTTCTATCAAGCGTTAGCACGTACAGTTTGGGATCATCTTTGCTCTCGTTGGATTCGATCTCAGCAGTTTTACCATAGAGAGGATCCAAAGGTTAGTCATATTTTCGGTATATCAATGTTTTCGTGTAATTTTCAGCGCTAATTTCTCGTTTTTCCAACCTCTAAAGAAGACCCAGTTAATTCCCCTGCGTCAATAAAGTACATGTGACGTAAGATTATTTTAATCACTCGTGGTGTAACGTTGGATTTTTGTGCAAGCGCAAGCAAACAACAAGTGGAATTCTTTTTGATTGTAGTTTATCACGGACTATTTGTGATATATTCAGGAAGTTTGTTTATTCCCATCCATAAAATATTTTAAAATGTTGGCTTTTGTTTTTAAAAAACAATGATGTTTTCAACAATTTTAATCAGTGGACTAATGAAAATGTCTTTATAAGCCTGTAGTGTTCAAAAGTTCGGCAACCTAAAATTATGGCAAAATTATGCGAATCGTTACTATTTTCCGATATGTTACTTCGTTAGTAATTCTATGTGATCCTCAAATTAGTGCTAGCTAAAATATGCACCACACAATTTCAGGAAAACGTGTAATATCTACCCAGGATCCTTTTAGTATATGGGATTATTAAGTCATTTTTTGACGTCTTATTATTAATATTGATGTAATTCACTTCATTGAGACAAAGTTCTATATGAATAAACATTGTGATGGTGAGAAAAATGAAACAACTAATTGGCGATCGAATACAGGATTTACTTAGATTTTGAAACTAAGGTTTGAATAAAATCTCATCTAACTAATGGTTCATTGCATTCACGGATTTTAGCGGTTCTTATTATTTGTGAATTGCAAAAATATTCTGATAATTTGTCTGGTCGAAATTGATGTACAAAGCACACGAAAGTCTAAATATTCACGTGGCCGGTGTACTATGTTTCTTTTTCCCTAGCCACCCAGCAATCCTTTGATAAAATGCCCTAAAACTATTGAATCAAAATTAAAGCTACTTCATGGTGATTTTCGAGGTCTTTCCATGTGCAAAAGTGATGTATTTTATTCTATTTTCAAAGAAGTGAGTAATGCACCACTTTGCTAGACTGCCTTCTTTTAGCACTAAAACAGTTGTGTAAGCATTACATGTTTCTTCTGATCATCTCATCTTGTTAAACATTGACGAAATAGTTTTAAGAGGTCGTTTCGCACCTGTGAAACCTTTTAAATCTAGCCTTGCTATCGAAATATGACTTGATATCCGGCACCGACTACGTTAATATGCTACCATTTCTGGAACAACACTTTTTTGTTGCATGTATTGATAATACCTCATTAGCCTAAAAGTATGTAACTGAGGTATTGTTTATTTTTGTGATAAACCTTTTCGTCAAAAGAAGCTTAATTTATCAACTATCTTGTTAACCTTCTGCTTATGGTTTGATCTCAACCCGCTCACTTCATTTTAGTGTATAAACTTCTAAACAATTTGGATTATATTGCTCAGTATTTTTATTCCTGTTATCTTACTACAAACAAACAAAAATGATTATCTTATTTTCATATTGCAGCGCATATACTATCTGTCCTTAGAATTTTACATGGGCCGCACTTTGACCAATACAATGCTGAATGTAAATATTGCTGCTGCAGTAGATGAGGCGATGTACCAAGTGAGTTTTAATATCTTGTAAAATGCAAGGTTTTAAATCGTTCAGTATTATTCATAAATTTCAGTTCACGCTAAAATTTGAAGTTTTCGCACCCGGAAGTGGCTCTTAACAGAGATCGATGGCTTCAAAGAGTGATATCATATTTCACTTTGACCACACCTAGATTTTTAAAACATACACGTAAGCACACCATTATAGACCCTTAACGTAGTGACTAGCCAGGTCCTTTCGGGTTTAATAAAATTCGAAGTTGAGTAAAGTTTTTTCCTTACTCTATGTATTTTTAGATATGATACGAACTGACTAATAAAAGAGTCACTAGTCAGTACTTCATCATACAAAAAATTAAATAAAAGCGTAGTACTAACATGTTAAACCACTCAATACCTATTATTATTAGTTCACTTAGCATAATTTAAGCCAACAATAGATGATAACGTACTACATAAGCTTGATCCATAGCTTTCCCATACACCATTATTGTTTGAGAGGTTCACACTGCAGAAAGACTAGCAACTTTTATCAGTAAAATGTTTCAACTTTGTTAATTGTCTCAATGTTTAGTTGGGTTCATAATAACCATTGTGATCATTCATCTCGGTCTTGAACACACTAAAGAAACATCCCAAAAATTGCACTCACCAAGTATCATTTTTATTTCTTCTACCGATCATTGGCAATCACATACAGACACCATGCAACTAAACGCTTCCTCATCATATACAAACGACATAAGGAGATATCAGAAAGCTCTTTAAATGTATATTTGCCACACAAACACAAACGAACCATTGATTTATGTAACCATGTATTTTCTTCATTATTTATTGCATTCTCCTGTTTGTCAGAAGTATTTTGGTGTATTTTTGATAGTCACTGATGTGTACATAAAAGACCCATATTTTGTTTGTTAACATTATCTCGTGAAATGTAACCAAATACTACTTTAATTTGGTATGCCCCAACAATACCCTTCACATGGATAAAGAAACTATAGTCAAAACAAGATTCATAAATGTTTTAAAATAATGTGGTGGTGTTTTTGTCTATGTCTTTCGTCAGTGAGTAGTTTTAGATAATTTGACATAACTGTTAAAGCATTTGAATTCTGATTTTGCTTACGTGAATTCAGTTGGGATTGGATATTGAGGAACTGGAGGAAATGGAGTCTGATGCTGGTCTTGGTAATGGTGGGTTAGGACGTCTAGCTGCTTGTTTCTTGGATTCCATGGCAACGTTAGGGTTGGCCGCTTATGGATATGGCATCCGTTATGATTATGGCATTTTTGAACAGTCTATACGCGATGGCTGGCAGGTAAGCTCATTTTTGAACTGTATATCATGATAAACAATTAAAATGAGCGCTGAATTACCCCTTACTTTTAGAATATAAATTCCAAAGTACGATTTAGCAGAAAGAAACTAAGTGAAGGATCAAGCACTGATTTTTAAATTAGATTCTTATTGTTTATTTTCGTTTTAATCTGGTATGATGTCTGTTCATTTGACTATGGATTAATTCAGCGCAAGGTTTACTGAGTATGACATTAGATTTATATTAATTAACTTATTGTGATTTTTCTCTCACTTGAGTTTTATTAAGTATACTATTCAATTGTTTTAATGTCATGTTATTTTGTGTTCAAGTGACAACTGTTTGGCTCAATAATTTCCCTAATTAATAATCATTGAATTTAGTCCTAATATAACCAAACAAACTCAAGAGTAATTCGAATTCTTCTGTAGTCTTACCGAATAAATCGTCCTTACAAAGTTTATGTTTTGCAGCAATCGGAACAAGTAAGAGAAAAAAGCTGTCTCATCCTGGTTTAAAGTGAAGTTGTGATAACCGTTGTTACCACAAGCTACATCAAGATATAATTGTCTTATATAAAATCCTATGGTAAATGAAGTGTATAGGCTTGCATAAGTTTCCTTTAGTTATGAGAAATTAGCAAGGAAAATTTCGACTTTTAATGTTTGTTATTGATCAAATGTACAAGAGTTGATCATTCTAGGGTTGTTCTAGCTTAAAGTTTATCGTATATTTACCCTTATTTTCACTTTGTACGTAGGTTGAAGAACCCGATGAGTGGTTACGCTTTGGAAACCCGTGGGAAAAAGGTAGACCAGAATATTGCTATCCTGTCAATTTTTACGGGCGTGTTGAAGATGCTGGAAATGGACGTAGACGATGGGTTGATGCTCATCCAGTCTTTGCAATGCCCTATGACACCCCAGTTCCAGGGTATAGAAATAACACTTGCAATACTCTTCGGCTGTGGTCTGCCAAAGCTCCAAAAAGTTTTGATCTCGGTATATTTAATATGGGTGATTACATAAATGTAAGATGATTTGTTATTTGTCCAAAATCTCTTATAAATCGGTTGAAATTTCATAACTACCATAACTGATTCGGCTGAAAACAACGTTATTTGCAGTATGAAGTTGCTTGCCGTTAACTGATATATTAGTCCGTACAGGGACTTTGAAACTACCATTTTGTATACTTTCAGCCTAAACAAAATAGATGTCCTGTGCTGTTGCCTATTATGGTTTTCGAAACAATACCAATTTGTATTCGGTTACATCCTAAGCAGTTTTCTATTAAAAAAATATTAACTCGATTCCTGTGCGGCAGGTCACCTCTTTTAGGCACACTTTATCTTGTCCAATGCTATTACCTATTTCAACTTTATGCAAAACGAAACATGCTTTTTGTAAATAAGTGAAAATGTATAAGATCGTAGTAAGTTTGCTTTTCTATTTTCATCAAATTCATTTAACCCTTTCAGCAGCACTTTGATGATCCTTTTTATTTTTTCTCTGTTGTAGGCTGTATGTGCACGTAATCATGCGGAAAATATTTCCCGAGTTCTTTATCCAAACGACAATTTCTTTGTTGGGAAGGAACTTCGCCTTCGTCAAGAGTATTTCTTAGTTGCTGCCACTTTGCAGGTAATATCCTGCAAACATTCTACTCAATTTTGTCATATAGAAACTCCGTAAAGACAAATCTTACGAAATCATCTCTGCCATTTTCCTATGTGACTCGCATAAATAAAATAGAAGCTGACAGTTTTTTAGACCATCGAGTCTATATATATATATATATATATATATATATAATTGAATTTAGTGTTTTGTAAGTATACTATGTATAATTTGCTTTTACCTAGCAATCCTATCACATAGCCAACATGCAATGTTACCGAATTCATCAAATTAGAATTTACATTAACATTTTGAGTTTATAGGAATGAATCCTTTTTGTTGTTGATTCGTTTATGCATATATTAACCTTTGTTTTCTTTTTGTTCATTTTTACAGGATATAATTCGGCGTTTTAGAAGTAATGATTCCCACCATCGATCGTTTGATGAATTTCCCAACAAAGTTGCTATCCAATTGAATGACACACATCCCTCACTGGCAATTCCTGAATTACTACGTATCTTAGTCGACTTGGAAGGTTTAGAATGGAAAAAAGTAAGTGTCTAACATAGAATTAAATAATCGCCCAAGTTTCTGACATTTAATTCTTTTTTTTCAAATAGACAGAATATCTGCCATTTTATATTTCTACTACAAAACGGCACCAATAAAAATATTTCAAACCACTGACACATTTTACTTGGAAAAATTGATATGGACTTGAATTTAGGTAATATTCCATCCGACAATGATACAGTAATATTTCTCTTAATCACAAAAATGTACGAGTTTGGTCATCAAGCCTGGTTATTTCCATTAAAAATAAACATATTGAGCCGTCGTACTATGTATGTCGTCTGGAAAGATTAATTCTAATATATACCGGGAGCCGTATTACTATTTTGATTACTTTCAGTAAGTAAATGAATATTATAACACCTAACAAACACCATAATTAGTAATATAGTATGTTGTAGTAAAGAAATGCTGATGTTAGACACATGTGTACTAAACGAGGATGGCAAATAGATTGATGATGTATTGAATCTTTATCGATTAAAGGGGTTTAGACATATGGTGGTCCAACATTGATCGAATCATGATATCAATCAAAAACTCAACAATCATCACAACCCCATACTGATAATTACTATGTACTCACTAGTGAATAGCTTTGAGAGGTATTTTTTGGAGTTCTAGTGAGAAGCCGTGAGCAGTGGGATCATATCCGTGTAAGGTGGAGACAGTTATCCATCTCAGAGAATGGATGAAGGGTTGAGCAAGACCATGAATCGATTGAAGCTAGACATTAACGCCACTGGATGTAGGCTCAGTGGTCTAAAGGATAAGCGTTCACACGTGCGACCGAAGGTCCTGGATTCAGATCCTACGTGTGGGATCGTGAGTGTGCACTGCTGAGGAGTCCCGTAGTAATACGAAACGGCCGTCCAGTGCTTCCAGGTTTTCGATGACGGTCTAATATCGATCGATTCATGATCTCAATGAAAATCATGTATTACAAATGTCTAACAGCCACCTCCCTCAACAGATGATGTTTACTGGTGTATGGACAGGTTTGGAAAAAAGCTACCTACTAAATGGATATATTGTATTGGCCAACGAAATCATTGATTGTTGGTAGGCTCATACTACATAAGCGATTACCATAACCAATAATTGAAGAAGTTGGACGACGTCTCAAAATCAGCCTCAATTGTGCAGATACAATCAATCTTCATCTTTTCTTAGATATTGAGTCGTAAAGTTATCCATTACTTTTGATTACACAAATTAATTCCCTCTTCTCTAATCACTTTTCTTTGTTGCTGTTCTTAGTTTTTTCTACTGACACTGATACTTTGTTGCTACTACTCTGGCATTTGTCTCGATAATTTAATCACACTGTGCTGATACACTGTAACAACTTAATCCAAAGCACATATATGCTAATTTTTGCGTTACTTATGACTGACTGACTGACCAGTAAATTAATCATTACTTTAAATATTTTGGATACTTACTAATGATTAAAATCATTCAGTTGATTCACATCCTTTACAAACTGTGAATAATAGTAATATGTTGCAAATTACAATATTATTAACTTCATATTTCACCTCTAAAATATCCTTGTGTCTTAATCATCCTTAGGTTATTCTGTAAAGTATTTCGTAACCTAATCTTATGTTTTCTTTGTCTACACATAAAAAGGCATGGGATATAAGTTACCGTACATTTGCGTATACAAACCATACAATCTTACCTGAAGCATTGGAACGTTGGCCTGTCACATTATTGGAGCATATATTACCACGTCACTTAGAAATTATCTATCAAATTAATGCTGAGTTCTTAGATGTGAGTTTCGATGTGAATCTTAATATATTTACGTCAATATATACAAGGATACAAATTTAATGATATTTTACTATAAGATTTTATGAATGAAGTGTACATAGTGCAAAATGGCTGATACTAATTTTTCTATAAAATAAAAAGTCCGGGTGACTTATCGTATGCGCAGACCTACCAATACGAAAAGTATAATGTAAATTGAACATCATCTTTCAGCAGTGTATTTTCTCACCTAAAAGTAACTTAATTAACTCATGAAACGTTTGGTATGTTGAGTTTTAGTTTACTTGACCGAAAACTTACAGTTCGAGCATTAAAAACGGATAAATGTCTTCACAAAATGTTTACTAATGTATGTATTATGTGCCTCATCAGTTGCAAACATTTGACTGAATTCAAAAGGGTTTGTCTTTTTTTACTGTATTTATAACGTCACAGCACCTGAAATGGTCTGGAATATCCCATTTTTGATATTTTGACTGAAATTTGAACAGTCTTGGTTGGCATATGTGCATTCTGTGCAAAATCTCTTTATTATATAGAATAGATCGAATTTAGCTAAGTGGATAACGCAATGGTATTTAGAGTGGACGGTGGCGCGTTCGAGTCCAGGAATGAGCATTAACTCTGGGATCAAAGCACATTCAGCTGTTGAGTCTCAAGTGAGGCGACATATGAGTCCTGAACTGTACTGAGGGCCACGTTTTATCTATTCCAAATTACTCCACTTGGTTAGACGGAGGTACATAAAGCAGCATAAATGGTAACTTATGTTTTACAATGGATCGAAATTAATTAACTTTTTGATTTTATGGTACTCCGGCAGTCTCACTTGTTTTAGACAGTTGTCTCATTTCGAACAATTCAAAGCAAACTCTGATCAGAATGACATTATTGAGCATTCACTCTGATTCATCATTTTGTAATATTTCATACATTTATTTCGAGTATATGTAACTTAATGTGGACCGACTATCTGGCTTTTTAAGGTTTCCAGACAGCAATGTAATAGCTGAGCACGAATCGAACAACATTTTTGGTACTGAATGCCTTGGAATTTTAACCTTGAATTTCAGTATTATCATCACTGTCCTTCAAAGTAGTCATGCTCTGTATGCACTTTAATCATTTATCTTGATCAATTCAAAATTATAACCAATTGATTTCATTCGTCATTTAAAAGTAATCTTTCAACTTTTAAATGTCTTTTGTGTTTCTGGCACATGCAGACAACATGTGCAAGATATCTATTATCAAATAACTATAAACTTTGTACATTATAATGGAAGCTTACTGAATTGGCCAACCAAATATTACTGACTAACAGTTTGCACTTTTTGACCTTGCTCAAAAAGTCAAGGGCTTTTATTGTTTTCTCTTAGTAACTCACACTAAGTACATGAACAGATATTAAACTCTATCACCACATTACTACCCAAGTTTTACAAAATAAAATTCATGTCATTTTCACAAACATGCTAAAATATTTTTAAAAGTTGAAATGGTAATTGTGTTCTAATGTGTATCGAAATTTCTTTCCCTAAAATTATCTTTAAATAAATCAGATTTAAATTTACTTTTTCCTGCGTATATAAGCGTCTGTACCGTACGTTTCCTTTGATTTTTTTCTGTCTTTTTTATTATCTAGATTGTACGTGCGAAATGGCCAAACGATGATGACCGTATTCGTCGTATGTCATTGGTAGAAGAAGAAGGCGAAAAACGTATTAATATGGCCTACTTGTGTATTGTAGGATCTCACACAGTTAATGGAGTCGCGGCAATACATTCACACTTGTTGAAAACTCAAACGTAAGAGTTTTTACTTTACAATATATTCACGTCATCACAATTTATTATGATTTAATATTGCTTAAAAATACTTTACATGTGGGTTGCCAAAAGTGAACTTTCAAAGTGATGGAGTTTCAATTAGTAAAACACGACCTATAGTGATAGTTTATAGTAATAGGGATTGTGAAGTATATATTTTTTGATGGTGTTGTGTGCTATGATCTCTAGATCGTTTAATTTAGAACGTTTTATCGTCTCTATGGACAATATCATAGGCCCTACTTCATTTAAAAGGTAGCTTTTCAGTTATTTTATTCATCAGTTTAGGGAGAGTTATGAAGACTGTAGAACTTATCTAGGTAAAATCACGGACCAATACTATCTAAACTCCGATTGGAAACCGAGAAGCAATAAACAGCCTTTTCGTCCTATTATGGGAATCCGCTGTAATACGCAGTCATAACCCTATATCCTGTAATAGAACCCAAGACCTCCAGACACGTGAGCTGTCACAACCTCTGGACCACTAAGCTGGCGTCCAATGTTGCACATGTCCAACTTTAACTACCTGAAGATATTCCGCAACTCTTATCTATTACTTCAGGTGGATGACTGCCTCACTTCCGATATGGTTGAACTCCACTGGTCATGGCTTCATACTTGAACTGTGAGCTAGTCACTAGTGAGCTATTCCGAGAGTCATGAGTGAGTACTGCTGTTAGATGCTTCCAGGCTTTCACTGGTGGTCTAACCAATATCAGTTTGTGAATCCAACTATTCCACATATCAGAATGGGATTTGCGAATTGATTGTACTGCTTTATAATTGGTTGCCTTCTTTGGTTTTGTTGTTCCCATATATTGTTGTATTCATATTGACTGTCTTTTTCAGTTGAACCGTGTGATTAGTTGACTTTTTAAGTATGAGCTGATAAACGGGGTGTCTGTCGATATGTATATTGACCGTCAGTTGATCTGAATGCAACACCATTTGAAATTTCTCAGCACTTTAAAAGATTCACATTCCATAATTTCGAGGTATTTCTTAACTAAATTCATTCCTATTGTTTTTTATGAACATTAACGTGATAACATGTCATGTCATCTCATTCCTATTCTGTGCTCTTGTATGCGAAAGTTGTAGTGTTTTTCGCAATTGGTGTAATTTATTTCATATATGGTGTTTTATTTCGTGAATAAAAATCACTATACTTCGTAGAAAGTTCGTTTCTACTTATAATTGTTTTGGTTTCCACTTAGATACCATCACCATTTGTTCACATCTTTATTCATTGAGTTTTACAATGTTTCATTTCAGCAAATAATACTTTTCTTGTTGAGAAGTCAATCACATCGTTAATGTTTGTTATCATTTATAATGATTTCCCTCTATTTGCAAATCCAATATTAACTGCTAGTTTTTCATTCAGTTAGCTTAGGATCTATGGGATAAAATCATTCTGTTAACTTGTGTAATAAAGCTTCTGTGGCATAAGAACTTGGCTTTTTCCCGTTAAGTAACATATTTAAGAAACCAGTCCACTTCAGTCTGAATGGTCGAATTATATCTCTAGTTTTCATGTAAAACTCATAATTCAAACCATTGTAGCATTAAATTATAGTTGCTAAAATTTCTTTTGTTCTATACTAAATGTTCGTTACTACTCAATAAATTGTGACTTGTCAGTTAAATTTATTTACTGATAAAGTTTTAAACTCTTCAATTTCTCTCATTTAAATAGTTACTTAGTGTCATCCAAGCTAACAAAGTAAAATTGGCTCATATTTCGTTGTAAGAAAAATGATATACAGTCAGCAGGTGCTTAACCTTTTAGTCTGATAACCATTACATGTTATTTCTTATGTAGTTATTTCTCTATATAGCCACTAATTGAAACTTATCTTATACCTCCGGTAGTCACCATTGATTATCCTCCTTTCTATATTGACCTGTACAATTTTGTTTCCCTGCAGTTTCAAAGATTTCGCTGAATTATGGCCAAATAAATTTCAGAATAAAACAAACGGTATTACACCTCGTCGTTGGTTGCTATTATGTAATCCAAACTTGTCAGACTTAATTATGGAAGGAATGAATGGCAGTGAATCATGGATTGTTAACCTTAATGAAATCGCTCAGTTAAAATCACGTATAAATGATGTTAATTTTTTACGTCAGTTGATACGTATTAAACGGGAAAACAAAGCTAAATTTGCTTCTTATTTGGAACAACATTATGGTGTAACAATCAATCCAGCATCTCTGTTTGATATCCAAGTAAGATTTACTTGCTTCAGTTAATTTTGGTAAAAATATGTTGGTGAATAATTATGTGATTATTTTGAAAATAAATTTCCAATATCATGATTGTTTAGAATGATTAATTATATAAACTGACGTTAATCTTGAACGTTGTGGCGTCTTTGATAGGTATTCAGCCTGACATGTGTTTTGATTGACACCTCAAATTATCGAATATTGATGGTACCGCATCATAAACCAACTGAAATTAGGATTTCAGAACCGATACAGCCATTGATAAGGAATTAAGCTTGAGTCATAATGTCGCCTTACATATCTCATTGCTGATATTGTCAGTTGTTCTATTTTTCCGTAAGACAAATACTAATCCATTGAGATGTGTACCTCATTAGTGTATTCAACAAGATTTTTAGTCAGAAATACATTTTGATTCACGTAATAAAACCCGTTTTGATGCATTCACTTTACACTAAGTGGTACTGCTGATGTGTCCCAATCATTTATGTGAAATAAATGTTTGGTTATTCACTTGTTTCTTACAAACAGCTGAATGATGTTATTAAAATGATTTTAATTTTTTCTAACTCATATGAACTTCTACTAAGGGATTCCATCTATTTGAGAAGCACTTTATTCCTTCTGTTACGTTATCACATTGCATTTATTACTGAGTTTTCATGGTTTAGCATGAATAGTTTCTCAAAAAACATTCCCTTCTCTTAGTTACAGTTAATGTAGAGAGGGTAGGCTATAAAATACTTCTGCCAATAGTACTATTTCTATTTTCAGGTTAGTGGTAAAAATTCTTAAAATACATACAGACCATGAATAAATTAGTAATAAGTATTCACTAAAAAAGTTCATTTTAACTCACACTGTCAATCATCTCAAAGTATCGATCTGGTTCACTTAACAAAAAATATCTCCGATACTGGACAAGTCAAAAGATTTATTACATACCGTAGGATTCAGTATCACTTATCAAAACTTATCAGGTTCCCTATTTTTGCTATTACACAACTCATATTAAACTTAACTTTCCTACCACATACAGTGAATGATAACTATTAGTTTTTAAAATTCTATGTTCGGTCTTTCAAAATCTTTTCATTTATCTGGAAGTTCAATAACCACTTTGTTCTAATTTCATATATATATATATATATATATATATATATATATATATATATATATATATATATATATATATATATATATATATATATATATATATATATACCCTTTTGACGGGAATTTCTTGATTTTCCAAATGTTAGGTCAAAAGAATTCATGAGTACAAACGTCAACTACTAAACTGTTTACATGTCATCACTTTGTATAATCGTATTAAAGCTAATCCTGAAATGCCAATCTGTCCACGTACAGTTATGATTGGGGGTAAAGCTGCTCCAGGTTATCATATGGCCAAACTAATTATTAAGTTGATCAATTCCGTAGGTAAAGTTGTCAATAATGATCCAGTTGTACGTGGTAGAATTAAAGTAAGTGTAAATTATTATTGTTGTATCCATTTGGTGGTTCACTAGGTATTCTACAGAAAGACAAAAATTTGCTCACCAATTGACTGTATAATTGAAACATGACTCTACACCTGTTATTTTATTACTAATTGTATTACTAATTTTCCTCTTTTGTTATCGTTAGCTGGCAAATTCAAAAATATAGATGGTCTATATCATAATTAGTGAAAACATTGGTAAACGAATCGAGAACACTTAGATATCTGTGTATTTACTCTGGTTTGGAAAATTCATAGTTAAGGAAATTTACTACCTTACAGAAATATTAGAGCTTATTGCAAGCCATGAAAACTTAGAGTACTCGAAATTTACGAAGTAATTGGTTAACTTAGACAAATTGAATGTTAAGATTGTAATTAGGCTAAATGACTTCGGTCAAATAGAAAATTTTTCTGTCCTCGCTAATAAATATTTCAACTTTCTGGAAATCACTACATTCAGGTTTGCCTCTATTGCGGTTAATTCCATGAAAAAACCACTAGGAATTCGACTTCAAACTTATACAGGTGGCAGCCAAAACATCAACCGCAGTATAGAGTCCAATTTAATAGCACAATAACCATTTTATGCTTTCATATACCTAGTTTTTACATAACAAGCAACCGATTCCACGCTGTATTGGTATTTCGTAATCAACATACATGTTATTTCCATTTCTGTTTCTACACACTTGTTGTATTGTAGCTTATTTTCCTTGAAAATTATCGTGTGTCTTTGGCTGAAAAAATATTCCCCGCCGCTGAATTGTCAGAACAAATTTCTACAGCTGGTACAGAAGCGTCCGGTACCGGTAACATGAAATTTATGGTAAGTCACTAAAAATGTTTAGATTTAGTCTACAAATAAAATGCGAAATATTGACTTCTTAATAAACATTCTGTTTATTTTTTGAATTTCTGATTTCTTTCAGTTCTACTTTAACTCAACACTTGGTTAGAAAATGACTATCATTTTTTAGAAAGTAAAATACATCATCGCTCCTACTTTGAGTTGTCGTTCTAATGTATTTTACTGTTTCTGAACAATACTTATTGTATTTACTTCTCTTAATTATTATCATACGGGATACGTATCAATTTGTGTTCTCAGAAGAAGCTCTTAGATTTCCTTTCTTGTTCAAGGCTATATGAAATTGACATCATCTTGACTAGGTAACAAGACACTTAGAATGTGATTTTGAAAAAAATATATACTAACCTTGATTGAGACAACAATTGTTGTACTACTATTTTTACCCGACCGTAGATGCTACCTTGACGTGGTGGTCGGGCTTGCCTATCGTGATGACCCAACCGAGCTATATTGGCTGGAACTCAAGTTCCTGCAGGTTCTACCATGCCAGGCAGGTCGATTGGAGAACGGTAAGACTAAAAGCAGCAACTCAAGGTCTGAGGGCGAAGTCGTACTGCTGACTGTACAGAGGTGTGACAGCAGTAAGGTGTTTCCCTCGGACAACCAGCATCTGCAGCGATGCTGCCTTCTCACAAGGAAGGAAGGGGTTAGAAAAGGTTGACCCTAAAAATGTCACACCTCACCTTACCCCACGGATTTCCGTCTCCGGCGGTAAGGCCCTTTGAAGAACGGAGCTAACACATTAAAAACCTCCCACAAAAAGGCCGTGCGCGACCGGCCTCAAGCAGTTTTCCCTTGGGCTCTGCGGTCACGCACTCAGGTCGCTAAGACCAACACTAATCCGATTTCCTTTTCAGGTCCCCCAAGAAATACCCTTCCACGGTGTGGGCAACCGGGAAGTGATATCAGCCCTCATACCCGTAACAGCACACGAGACCAAGTTGGTCACATTCAAATCCTTCCTACACCTCCTAATAACTCTCTTATCTCCACGACTAACCCTTCTCACGTCCCTTTATCACCTCGCCCCGCTAGTGCGAACGATTCGAGTACGCGGAATGTTATTCCTGGTCTCCTGAAACCACGCTCCAAACTACACGTAGGAGCCTTCAACGTCCGAACACTATGCCAAATAGGACAACAGGCTTCCTTAGCTAAGACTTTAGAATCTCGCTCCATCGATGTGTGCTGCGTCTCCGAAACGCGCACACAGGATCCTAGTAGTGTCATTCATTTGACTGCACCATGTCAAAGTAACGAACCAACTCGATTTACGCTTCGTGTATCTGGAAGCCCTGATGCTGCATCCCGTGGCCTCGCTGGCGTAGGTATAGCATTGAGTCCTGGGGCAGAACTAGCTCTCTTAGACTGGATCCCAGTAGACAGTCGTTTGTGCGCTGTCCGACTAAACGGAACGGTAAGGACTCGAAAAGATAGGGACACTCGTCTCTGCCTATTCTCCCAATGACTGCAGCTCAAATGATGTAAAAGATGAGTTTTACAGAAAGCTTTCCGACCTTCTCCGAAAAGCTAGGCGTTCTGATGTAGTAATAGTGGCTGGTGACTTTAATGCTCAAGTAGGTAAACTATACGAAAGGAAGAGACACCTGGGTGGATCTTATGGTGTCGCGGTTCAAAGAACAGATAACGGCGACCGTCTGTTTCAGCTATGCTCAGATAACCGCCTGTTTCTTGCAAACACTAACTTTAAGCATAAGGAAAAACATCTTTTAACATGGCGACCCCCTAATTCGTCTCAACGCTGGACCCAAATAGATCACATCGCTACCAGCCACCGATGGAGGGGCTCGATAGAAGACTGTCGCTCATTCTGGAGCACATGCTTAGACTCAGATCATGCTCTAGTGCGAGCGCGTATTTGTCTACGTCTTACTGGACGTAGGAAACATGCTGCAAGGAAACCCCTTAGGGTCCTACTTAATGATATTCAAGCTAAGAGTATATTTCAGGAACATCTAGAAAAACAGTTAGGCAGCCATGTAAGTGATACCCACCCCGAGGCAGCATGGAATGACATCTGAAAAGCTGTAGAAACAGCAGTGATGTCTGCAAGTACGGTAAACCATAAGGTTAGGGAGAAACACTGGATCTCAGCAGCATCTACCGCACTGATAGATGCTCGAAAACTCATTCCATCTGGCTCTGAACATAACGAAGAGCGGAGTCAGCTTAAGCGTAAGCTGACTAGAAGCCTACGCAATGATTGTGAACAGTGGTGGGTAGCGAAAGCAAGAGAGATTGAAAAGGCAGCGGCAATAGGTAACAGCAGGCAACTGTTCAGACTTGTTAAGGAAACCGGTATTAGGAACCCAACTGTTAGCGAAACAATCGCAGAGAAAGATGGACATATTATTCATTCTCAATCCAGGAGATTGGATCGATAGGCAGAATACTTTAGGGATCAGTTCAACTGGCCTTCAGCCACACTTCGGTTTCCCACGATCCCCAGTCGACCTGAATGGCAAGTTGATGTAAGTCCTCCGACTCTTTACGAAGTTGAAAAAGCTATAGGAAATCTGAAGCGTCGGAGAGCAGCAGGCCCTGACAGGTTCACCCTTGAGATTTTTAAGGATGGCGGTCCAGTATTAGCAGCGAAATTGACTGAGGTCTTAGGTAGAATCTGGGAACTGGACGTAATCCCATCTGACTGGTCTCAATCACTGATTGTACCAGTCTATAAGAAAGGACAAAAGTCCTCCTGTGACAATCACAGAGGAATTAGTTTGACTAATATAGTATCTAAAATATTAGCTTCAATAATACTTCGACGTCTAACCAAAGGTCGTGAAGAGCAGACTAGAGAAAACCAGGCTGGTTTTCGACCTGGACGTGGTTGTATTGATCAAATATTCACATTACGTCAGGTCCTAGAACATAGACACACATTCAGACGCCCCACAATGGTAGTATTTCTCGACCTTAAGGCGGCATTTGACTCCGTTGGTCGTGAGGTCCTATGGCAGTGTTTGTCACTGAAAGGAGTATCGAAGAAGTACATTAACCTTATAAAGGCTCTCTACTCGAGCACAACTGGTCGAGTGAGAGCATATGACGAACTGTCATCAGAACTGATTACCTCAAGTGGTGTTCGTCAGGGCTGTCCGCTCTCTCCATTCTTGTTTAACTTTGCCGTTGACGTCCTTTTAGAGATGACACTTTCCTCATCTAAATTTCCAGGAGTTGAACTTCTACCGGGAGATCCACTTGTTGACTTAGAATATGCCGATGACATAGTTCTATTTGGTGAAGACGCTGACAGAATGCAGAGTCTGTTGACCACTCTAAGCAACAATGCAAGCATGTTCGGCATGCGATTCTCTCCCTCGAAATGCAAAATGTTACTTCAGGATTGGGTTGCGTCGACACCCGGACTAGTGATAGGGAGTGAAGTAGTTGAGCGTGTCGACCGCTTCACTTATCTCGGAAGTCTCATCAGCCCTTGTGGTTTGGTGTGTGACGAATTCTCAGCACGGATACAAAAGGCTCGACTAGCTTTTGCCAACTTGCGTCATTTGTGGCGTAGGCGAGATATCCGTCTATCAACCAAAAGACGTGTTTACTGCGCAGCAGTTGGTTCCGTCCTACTTTATGGCAGTGAAACATGGCCGGTAAGAGTAGAGGATATTCGTAGGTTACTAGTATTTGACCATAGATGTCTTCGAAACATTGCTCGTATATCCTGGGACCACCGAGTAAGTAATGCAGTTGTTATGAAACGGGTACTAGGTAAGGATGGCAAATCAATTGATGGAGTAGTGAAACTCAATCATTTGAGATGGCTGGGACATGTGTTGCGCATGCCCGACCACCGACTGCCCCGACGTGCTATGTTTTATGGTGTAGGAGTAGGTTGGAAGAAAGCTAGGGGCGGCCAGACCAAAACATGGCACAAATCCATGAAGTCAGTGACAAGTGGACTGAGTAAGCCATGTTGGTAGGTGTAGACTACCTGGTTGGGGACCGCGAGACGATAGCAACCGATGGTTAGAGACCTTGAATGACATGGCTCAAAATCGTTTGCAATGGCGCAAATGCATCCACTCTTTGTGTTCTCTCAAACTCTAATCTTCTGAATTCTTCATGTCCTTTATTTTCTTTCCCAATTTATTCCACTGGACTATACTCCTTTAATAACATCATCAAACCTTAATGTCCCCTATCTCTACTTATACTTTCAGTACCTCTACCACTATGGGATTTGAATCGATAACTGAATCTCTGTGCTAATGTGGTATGGCAACTCGAACTGATGTACGTACGTACGAATTTCCACGTTGTTACTGACTGACTGACTACTATTTTTAACATCAATGTAGTGTAGCTGAATAAGAGGCGAAATACAAACACTAAACTAACTGAAGGTTGTGAACTTTCTTGAAATGCTGAGTAATAAAATGTATAGTCATAGTCTTTTGATAATATTACTTTTCCAGATAAAAGAGATTAAGTTTCATTAGTTTGCCATAATATAACAGTGTCGTTAGTAGATTTGGGTTCCACAAATATCTATTGATTTCACTTGAGTTTTTTATTTTCATTTATTTATTGGTGTCAAATTAAAAACAGGAACACTTTCTCATGAGATCTAATCTTATTCCAATTAACAATAGTAAGATTATCAAGTTTGCGCTTTGATAAATTTTAAATAGATTTTTATAGTAAATAGATTTTAAGTGATAATACTTCTGAGAAGTAACATTTTAGAGAGAAACAGTACCCTCTCTTTTTTCCACTAAACTTTCTAACATTTGTTCTATTACTATCGTTAAAAAATTTATCAGATCACTTTTATTTTATGTTTCCGTATTGATGGTATTCAATTTTAAACTTCTTGTCGGTGATTTTATTGAACATCGTATCGTTAATATGTTGTTTTAAGTTAGTTTGTAATGTTTTATTGTAAGATGAAAACTTATTGGTTTTTTTTCTGGAAATGTTATTGTTACACACCTATGTTTAAGAAACAATTTCTGCATACTGTTCTGTATTTAGCTTAATGGAGCCATGACTGTTGGTACTATGGATGGAGCGAACGTAGAGATGTGCGAAGAAATGGGTCGAGAGAATATGTTTGTATTCGGTCTAACCGTAGAGCAAGTTGATGCTCTTCACAAAGTTGGGTAAGATTTAATACAAAATTATAGTAGTATGAATTTCTCAATCATTTATTTGCCTAACTGTCAAAATTCTTTTTATTTTTATGGCTTATATAAGTTATTGGTTTCCTTTTTAGTTGTTGATCAAATTATTGTATGGCTGTCTACATTTTAGCAAATAATATAAATTTTATAACACTTGCATTTTTCTTTATTCCTTTTTGGACAGTAAACTAGGTATCATGTACATCTTAGTTTCTCTATATTTGTCTAAAAAAAGGTCTGTCATATAGATGATGATTTGGTAAGTGATTTCGTACAAGTTATTTGTAGTCTTATCCTGCATATCTTCTAATTTCAGTTCAGGTGGTTTCAAGGGTGAACTTCAAAATAATCAGTTTAAACTTAAAAAATTTTGAGTGAAAAATAGTGACTTATTGTTTAAAGCACTATTGTTGGAATACTTGCTCAGACTCAAATAATTCAACTCTGTCATCATACGCTTTCTTGAATAGGCAAACTAAAAATGATGGCATAGAAATACGGACATTAAAATGTGTGCGTAAGTAATTAGCCAGACGGTTGAGATGAAAAAAGAATGACTCCTATTTGGACTACTCAGTGTTCATGAGGATAGATGCTGACTTTCGTCTGAAGATTATTTATGGTGATGAATCACTCCAGTCTTATCTGAATAGGTTGATCCATAACCCCGAACCGAATATAATTTCGTGAAAAAACGATTCAAGGTGGCATGTAACTTAGCTAGAAGTAATGGAATAATGGTACTGGAGAGCCATTTAGGCAGTGATCTATATAGGATCATTGCTAATGAGACCACTATTGTTCACCTTTAGATAATGGCTTAAATGGGATAATGATATTGATCTTCCAACTCTTAAAAAAAATTGATCATTATGCGCTGAGTTATAAAACGCATGTGCAGCTTAAGATGGCGCAGTATTACCTTATCGAAAAGGAGAAATTATGTATAGTCAGTTTCAATTTTACAACTCAATCCAAAGTGTTATACAGCTGACTAAGTCAAACCCACTGATAATGAATTCTTAATGCTTTCTACGTTATTCAAACCAACTAACTGATTTTCACCATCCTCATAATAAATATTGAATTATTTCATTTACCACTTAAGTCTTTACTTTATTTAAGGTGAATAAATTTTATGATTTCAATAAATTCTAACTAGTGTAAATTATCCATTATTTCTCACTCTTATATCATAGTGAACAGTAATTTACTGACATTAATTATTTTTCCATTTAAATATAGAATTAATTCCAGTTAATAGAATGTATTTATGGACAATAGTAAACCTGTGTAGTTTATCCAATTGTAATATATCTCCTGATAGAGATAACAAATATGAAAACAATTTACACTTTATTAATGACCTAAAATAGTGACGTATCTATTCACAACTAATAACACACATAAATGTATTATTTCTTAAATCAACTACATGTTATTAGTTGGTTAGATTGTCCTAAATAAAAACTGTAAAATATGTTTAAGATTTAAAAAAATCACTATACTAAATACATTTCTAGTAATTCTTTTGCTATATATACAAAGTACCTAAGATTAGTATTGATTATTGAAATTAAACATTAGTTAGATAAAGCTTGAAAACCTGTTTTAGTATATATGTTTCTAATTTCATTTATTGTGTATAACAAATTTCTGCCATATTTCACTGTTCTGTATTCTTATTTTAAATTTTTTTTCTTTTATAATGATTGATATTTCTTATTAGATTACCTATCTAATAAGTTCACTTAATTCAATGATGTATGGTTAAAATTTAGGTTTATTTGTCTTATATTGTTTCTTGGTACCCAATTAGGATTTTAACACTCATAAACTAGTTGAATCGTTTCATTAATGTCATAAATTTATGTAATCCATGTACTTAAATTGTCCAATTTATTTATGTTAACCTTGATATTTGAGCCTTCATTAATCAATAAACAAAATTAAGATAGGTGGCTTTATCTAAACTAAACTTATTGTTTTTCCTTACTGATGAACTCATTTTCTAATTCATGAAACGGTCCCTTGGGATATGTAATAATCCGATGTGGTTAGTGTTACTTGTGGGATATAATTATCTTCTACTCGTTTGTTCAATTATTATACTCTCATAAATATTTATCAATCTGTCCCGCTTAATTTATATCTCAAATCAAGTGAATGTGTTAATAACAGTCTCTGTTATAGTAGTTGCGACGTGAAAATTCTGTCATAGTTCGAAGTATTTGATTACTAATTTCTTTTAAGTGTCCTCTTTATAATATCTAACCCCCTGCCAAGTTAACAATTTCGTTGAGCTTATTTTCTTCGGTAAATTGTGTAAATCACATATTATGTTTTTTCACCTATGTCAACTCAGTTAGTTGGTGAATAAAATTATCAAAACACTTTCTGCCTGATCATTCTTGAATGAAGTTATAGACTTTGGTTGGTATGGTCTTTGGGATGACTTAAGATTGAAGACCTAGATGATATAGCTCAGTGTCGTTTACTACGGTTTAGATACACCTTGGTTTTATCTTCAGAATCTTGATAATGTTTTGATCCATTATTTCTTTTCCCTTTTCAGGACTGTATTTCTCATTTATTCTTATATCTTTTGATTAGTTATTTTCCTTTTTTGTTCTGTTAACAAAACATGATAAATTAAATCTACTTATATTTGTGTCAAGTTTTATTTTGATATATTTGTCTTCAATTATCTCTATTTTTGGAGACGACGTTAAGCAATATAGTTTTATGGTAATATTCACATTATTATCTTCTCATATTTTAAAAATAGGATTAATGTCAATATGTTTATTCCTTGTGGAGCGAGTATTTCAATGAATCTACTTTTTAGGCACAATTCTATTTTGATCTCGAATACAAATATTTTATTCCTATAACTAAATACATTAGTTCATTAAGTTTATTGTGAATAGCCCAACTGTTAGTTAACAACCTAATTAGTTTTAACTTGTTTTGTGTTAGAACTAAGTGATTGGTATCAATCACGTAAAGTGCAGATGTACACAAAGAATCCAGTGTATCATTCACACATTAGTCAATGATTGATTATGCTTGGTGATTTAGTCAAAATATGTAAACTATTATAAACGGAGATGATTTTTGGCTAGTAGTGAAATCCAGACAGTGTGTTTCGTCCCATTTTTGACTCGTCCACCGGATGTGCCTACATCCTAGATTTGATTTCCGGGACTCGAATGCAAATTATTGATTATGTTGTCTGTATATTATTTTGATATAATAGTAGACTTATAATCTTTTGAATGTCAACTACAATTTTAATCAGCATTGTTGTATGTACTCAGTATATTGTAGTCTTTATCTACCTTATCACTTTTTAGTTATCATCCACAAGAATATATTGAAAAAGAACCAGAACTGAAATTATGTCTGGAACAAATTCGGGATGGCTTCTTCTCTCCGGATAATCCACATCTATTTAAAGATATATATAATAGTTTAGCATTCGATGATCGCTTCCTCCTATGTGCAGATTATGCAAGCTATATACGTGTGCAACAAGAAGTTGAGGAAGCTTACAAAGTAAGTCAAAACTAAATATCCTCAGATGGTCATTGATAACGCCATTTTAGACTAAATAAATGAAAACGATGTGTTCAATTCTATTCTTTGTAATTTTTTAATCTGGTGCTGTTAACATACTATTATACCGATTAGTTCGAAGACTAACAAGAATAATTTATCCTATATATGTAATTTTTCGAGGGCTGTAAACTAATTAAAATAATCTCAAATAAGTGAGTACTAACTAATAGCTTCATTGATAATAAAAAATAAGCAGAACAGCAAAGATAAAAACTGAAGTACAAGTAAATATTACTAGAAAGTCTGTAACCATAAAGATTTAACTAAATAATTGAGAACCGAAAAGCTATCAAGGTTTAATGTGACTTATTGATTCTTTGACAAAATTTTCACTCCAATCTTTAATACGTTGATGCACATGGAGTATATCCTAAGTTGTTTGAAGCTATTCAAATAAAACTATTTTATTTGCTTTAACAAAATCTGACTTTTTTATTCCTTATTCAAAATATATCTATCTGAATGCTGCTCTTTGTTTTAGTAATATTTATAATTTATCATAGCAAAGCGTTACCACGTTGCTTATAATTTATTAAACAAAAGTGACTCATACTATTACTAGTTTGGGTCTTTTGAGTAGGGTTTTATTTTATAAATTGGGGTTGCTAACTATAACCCATTTCCTATTCCCTGGCTTGGAACATTGGAGGAACTGCAGGCGAAGTTATATACTTCTACTACAGGTATTAATTCAAGTTTATGATAATAACAATAATAATAATAGTAATAATAATAACTATTATTTCTTTATTTGCACTCATAGGATGAACTAAGATGGTCAAAAATGATGCTTATGAATATTGCTTCCTCCGGGAAATTCTCTTCTGATCGTACTATACGTGAATATGCTCGAGATATATGGGGTGTTGAGCCATCAACTATTAAATTACCACCTCCATTTGAACCAGCTATAGAAAAGAAATAGTTTTATCAAACAAATATGCAGACATTTACCTTTTATGAATATACTCTTTTGTCCCATTTCTTCCCGACCTCTTCCCCTATTGTCATTTAGTCCAGTTAGTAATTTGAAAAAAAAGAAAATAACTTTTTTCCACTGATGATTTAAAAAGAATCATTATTCTCTCCTTTCCTTTACATATTAATCTGCTTTCAACCTATAATTTCATTATCACTGGTATATTCATACAATAAGTATTTTATGTAGAAAATATTTTTAATTCCCTTATTTTAATGTTATCAAATTACCAATCACTCGTTAATTATGACTGCTATATGTTATTCTTATTCAGTATGTATTCAGTTCGTAATGTAATTCTTGAATTAGATCTGATGCGAATAAACACATCAACATAAATAATGATTATCATACTGTAATAAAATGCGTTCATTCTCGACTTCCTTCAACGGTATTAACCGTTGTTAATAGGGAACCACCGTTTGATTATTATACTTGGGGGGTGGGATGAAAGTTGATTTGTATGTGTTCTTGGGTTTTACAAACATGACATTTCTAATTAGTTTATTACTTATTGTATTGTTGTTATGACTAATACTTGTTTCTTATTTGTTTAATCGATTTTAACTTAGTTATTTTTAAGCTAAATACTAAAAAAATAATATAATTTGACTAATAAGTGCCTATTAGTCATTATAAGACACTAGTTTTTGAATTGTTTCTATAACTGCATCATATTTGTAGCCTCTTACACATAAATATAGTAATTTCATTAACAATTAAAATAATAATAATAGTTCTTTACTATTGTTTTGGAAATCTCAATTATTGTCCATTGCCATAGATATTTGCATTCATTTGTTGATAAAATTTACGAATCTATATATAAAAATATTTTCAAGACATTAATCATAATACACTAGTCTAGATCGAATAATACTTTTGCATTCCATATTATTCGATGAATAAATAAAATACTGAAGAATTAATAAATCTTTTATGGTGATCTCTACTAGTTGCTCATATATTTAACTCATTTTGCTCTAGGTTATCGGATGTAGCATTTGTTTATGTAGTAATTACAGTGACTGAAATTTTCACAGATTTATATTTGAAAACAATCGCTATTTTTATGTAATTAGTTTTCTCGAGACAGGGTAACTATTTAATTGTTTACCGAAGTCTATCTGTATCAAAAGAGGTTATTCCCATGTGATAATGACGAGAGCTGTTGTCTTAAGTCAAAATACATAGCTTGTGCAGAAATGGAATTTCCCAATTGATCACACAATTTTCTGAAACAACGTAGATTGTCGTTATTGTCAGTAAATTGATAACATAACTGATCATTAGTACTGCTCACTGTGTACTGAAAACTTTAAACTTATGAAACAATTCACATAAACTCATTCTGTCACTAACAGTAAATCTAATATTATCAATCCAGTATTGCTTACGTGATACCATAAATACGATGAACGACCAACCCGAAATGGGACACTCAAATTTCCGGTACAAAACAGTGAAAGTTGCTCACGTGTTTCATATGTATTTATTCGTGCTTCAACACCCAGTTTGATTTAGTAGCATATTTAACCAAAAAATACTTTGTAAATTCAGTATTTGTCTGTCATGACAGTCAGAGATGAGTTCAATCCTTGACTAGGTTGTAAGCAAACTAAGTAAAAAACGTAGTGCAGTCCTCCATAGCTCAAAAGTGATAACCCAACATTTGAAGACAACAAAGGTGTAGCTACAATGTATGGTTTAATAGATATGAGCAATAAAAGATATTTTCTTCACTCTGTAAAAGAAAGATTTTTAACTACTTACAGTAACAACAGTGACTGTTTCATAGTGTCTTTTGGTGAAAGCTTGCTGTTTGTCTTAAACAGATGTCTTACGCTTCTTTATTTCCAATGTTCAGCCAAATAAAATCATGCCATGATGAAAATGAAACGACATTTCCTTAACAAATATATATATGCTTATTTTAATTAGTGATTTATTTTAACTGGAATGGTTAACCTATGTAAAGTGGTGGTTGGAGGTAGTCGACAGGAAACCCTGAACCTAGGTTTCCTGCTGTTTGGCACTTGACAGCAAGATGTACCTGTAACCTTGAGGGAACTATTGCTCCTTGGCAGATTTGATCCCGTGCCACCCAATCTCAAGGTCAGAGACGTTACCACTGGGCTTGTAGTGTCAGTTATCATGTCAAGCCCGCATGACTTGTTCTAGCTTCCGGACAGGCCATTCTATTGATTCATATTGAGTCACACTTTGACGTTGTTAACTATTCGCCTATCAACGTTGACTGCTTTTATATAAGCGTATATGTGCGCATTCCTTATCTTACTCATTACATGCCTGTAATTTATTTTTGTTCGATTATAAATATCGATTAACTCTTGATTGCATGAAGTTGTCTCACACACCACTGAACGTCATTTTGTTTTGCTTTCTTCTCCTCGTTTGTCTGGATCAACGATTGTAAGAAATACATGTCTCCGAAATTCATTCTCGTGTTTGACTTATTTCTGTTATTCACTAACGCTAGTTAAGTCGATAAATATATGCGAGGTTTGACAACACGAATATTTCAATAACGAACATTTCAATAGTAATCAATCATACGATATTACTGGAGTCAGATATAGGGCCGCAAAATGTTGAGCCTATCAACAATATCGTACGGTCCAATTGGCGTAAAATAATGGGCCACTAAAGGCTATCCGGGTTGTAGCCGGCCTCCTGTAGTGCTATCCAGTGATCAGACAACCTATCTATTAAGAATTCCTATATATTTATACTACATTTCATTTAATTCACAGTTACGTACATTTTTAAGTGTATTTTTGACAGATACAATATTGTTTAGTTTCTGCCCACTCATTATCTGATAAGCACCAATTATATTGTTCATAGAGATCAATTCGACTTATATCCATTACATGAAAATGATTCGATGAATGTTGTGTTATATTCACTTTAACAGTAGCTTCGAAATGTGCATATTCAGGTTGTACTACGATATGTATACGTAAAAGTATACTTTCATGGATGAAATCATGATTTAAAATATTGTTAAAATTATTATTATTATTGTTGTTTAATATATTGAATTGTTTAATCCAATCTAGTAATGACCATGATGAAGTATATTGTTCTTGAAACACTGGTATACGTCCATCTTCATCTTGACTGCGAATAAATCGAACCATATCTTGTGGTAGTATAGCTTGTTCTACTGATTTAATCTGAAATAAGTAAGAGAATGAAAAAATTAAGAAATATGTATTATTGTATCCAAACTTACTAAGGTATTTTAAATATTAAAAAATATTTTCATCATGAACTAATATCAAATAGAAAACCATAGAAAAATTAATGGGTATTGAATAGCAGTTTTGGACTGGTTTTGGAACTTTCCAATAGTATATTTGGGATGAATGTATATCAGATCATATTGTCACGTTTCACATCAGCATACCAATAGGGAATTACTATGAGAATAAAAAAAGAGGGGATGTAATTAGCATGAACCAATGCCCCATAAAGCCTTAAGCTATTGATTACCATTCTTTTGAGTGTTCAAATTTTATTACTCAATGAACTGATTTATTACTTTAATACTTTAACCTACAACATATCTCAGCATTAGTCACTTGTTGCTCCTATCAATATATCATGTCCGAAGTGTACTAAAACTCTTACTGTTCAACTGTTACTCATACCCCTCCATCGGAAAAACCAACATGTAATCAATTATATGCTCGAACCCACATATACCAATAAGAGACTGATCAATTGAAGTCCTAAACACCAATGGGAAGATTCAAGCAAACAATACCAAGTGAATTCACTTTATAGATTGTTAACGTGGTTAAATGACCTAATTAGTATATGGTTAACTGTTTGTATTCGATAATTTTGATGTTTAATCATAGTTCCTTCAAAAAGCTTGGACCAGATTGCCGAATGAAAAGTCGGATTTACTTATCTGAGAATTCGCTCTAAATATATTCAAGAAACAAAATTGTTCTTGAATTAAACAAAATGTTTTCTTGAGGTTGAGCAGTAAATAAGAACAACCATTCAATACTATTCAGTTTACATGGTATTTTCATTTTTTTAAACGGAAGTGAATTTTCTCAATAAGAGTAAGTAACAAATTTAGCAGTTGAATCCTTCCTATACTTGTTATTAATAAGTAGATAGTGATAAGAGCCAGAGTTCATTTTAACCATAGAAAGAGTATTGCTCACGTAATGATCTACAGTGTATAGCTTGAAATAAATTCACAATGAGTATTGATTGTTCTGAAATTATTTGTGAAGTCATCAGTCAAATTAAAATTCAGATAAACCAAATCAACTAGATAGGTCACACGATATTTAAAAGTTGAGTAGGAAGTCAAGTGAATAAATGGGTGATAAGTTGCGAGTAAGTATTTTATTCACTTAAATAATGTTAATATCTGTTATTTTGCCTACTGATAAATATGAACCTGGTCAGTAAGTAAAATTCATTTGATATTCACCTCTCATTAATTTTTAGTATTTTTCATTTAGAACAACACATATAAGCGAACAATTGTTTTCAATGAGATCATCATCAGGCTTTACTCTAATATACAGTAATATTTATACGAAAATGTTAAACCAATCAAGGCAATTTTGGGTCAGTAATTATAAATGAAATGGAATAAGTCATCACACAATAATAGATAAAAGTACAAGTTGATAGTAGGAAGACAGGTGTACTGATAGTAGGTAAGAATAATAAAATACGATAACAAAAGTCTTATCAATAGTTAAACATTGGCAATAGTAGGTCAAACATGGGTAAATGGAGTAGTTATCATAAAACATTAAAATCATTACGTAATAAGAAGTGTGTAAATAATTAGATAGTGAAGAATGCAAACGGAAAGAGGCGGATAATTCCAAACAAATACTGGATGTGTAAATAAGGTTAATAATAGAATACTAATAATAATAAAAGAAACGTAAAGAAAATAAAAATGAAGAAATAAAAATTAATCGTTAGTTAAGTGATAACTGGCCATGGAATGGATAGGGGAGTTACAAATTTCTTCTGTACACATAGATTGGGGTTATATGTACGGATTCCTATGGCTTCAGCTATATGTAGGAGACGGGAACGAACTCCATTGGGAAATGATGGAGGTACACGATAGATCACTTGAAATGATTTAGATTTATCTACCGCATGACCACTATCAATAAGATGTGCCAGGATTGAACTGCGTACTGCTTTTATCTGGCCGTTTATGAACCAAGTTGGTAGATGTTCACTCATTCGTTGGCTAAGTTGTCTGGTTGTACGCCCGATATAGCTATCTCCACAGGAGCAGCTGAATTTGTAGATGCACAATGAGCAGGCCAACTCAGGTAACTTATCCTTCGTTTGAGTAGACATCGCTGGTCAACAAGAGAAAGTCAACGCAAGATTGTATGCGTAAAATGTTCTGCTGATTACTTTCGTTAACCTATATTTCAGAGTATCACTAGCCACATCCCCGTTGAATTGTAGTTTCATGTATAAAGGTTTCTTATGAACAGTCGAAATCTCCGACTTCTTTATTATATCATACATGTACTTCTTAATGAAAGCACCGGGGTAGCCGACCTCGGTCAGTGAGTTGTTAATAAATTCAAGCTCCTGACTTAAAGTATCACCTGTACAAATCTTGTCGACCAGCGATGTCTACTCAAACGAAGGATAAGTTACCTGAGTTGGCCTGCTCATTGTGCA